ACAACTTTGCCCTTGATGTCATTTGAATAGGGATGAGTTTTAAGTAAGGGCTTTTAGGTAATTAGGCTTTTAATAAGAGGATCCCACTCTAAATAGGGGACCGAATGTTTCAGTCCCCATTCTTGCTTGCGGCCCAAACCGAACGAGAGAGGGAGGAGGGGCTTCGGGTAGGAGGCGACTCCGGCGATCCTAGAGGCGGTTTCGGGCGACATTTTGCGAGGGGAATTTAAGGGAACTTGTGAGGAAGGCTAAGGTAAGTTGTTTCTTGAGTTCCCTCTCTTTTTCATTGAGTTTTCTCTAAGGGAAGAAAACTAGGGTTTTGGGAGAATGCAAGTTTTCTTTAAGATAAAGATAGAGAAGGGTACGAGGATGTTTTTAAACCGAAATATGAGTTGTTTTTAAGAAAAATGTGAATTTTGGAAATTAGGGTTTCACTCAATATTGTTTTTCTTTGGAGATGCCTTCGCAAAAATAGTTCCTAATGACATAAGAGAGTCTCTAATTGAAAAATAATGTAAGGTTGTGGAAATTTTAAGTTTTAGAATTTAGGGTTTTTCCTAATCATGGAATTTTTTATTCTTATGGTTCTAAATGATTTTGGGAAGGATTTTAGAGACAAATTTAGGGCTTTTATATTAAATACATGTTTTTCTAAATTTTAATTTAATATAATCTAAAAATTAATTATATTTTAATTATTATTTGATAGTAGGGAGGATGTTTGCATGCATAAAATCTAAGATTTATGACTAAATCCTAATTGAGAGAGAATAGGATTGAGATATGTCATGAAATGGTAGGAGTTTAATTTGTAAGCATATGGACATAACATAGGGAGTTCTCTATTGTCATAGATTAAGGATTAATGAAGTTTTTATGGGGACTAATTATATTTACACGTTGTGTATGTCTCTTTTAGATGTTGAACGTGTAGAGGGAAGGATTTGATCGGACAATCGGAAGTGGTGCACAAAGTGAGGTAGGAAAATGTGGATCTTTTAAATTCAAAATTCTTTTTTTTTTCCACGATAGCATGTCCTTGTATTGTTATGGGATTCTTAGCATTAATGCAATTGTGTTTTTCTTTTACATCCTAACATGCTCCTAAATGTCATGCAACAGGCTCTTATGATTAGCTTAAATGTATATGCTCATGTAGAAATATTTAAAGACACTTGACCATATGCCTACTACAATACAATTTTTTTCTTATGTGATAGTTTACAATGCAAGTGCTTTTCTCATATGATAGTTTGTAGTAAATGGAATTCTTCTCATGTAATGATTAAAGAAAGTACATAGTCCATGTCTCTTTTCTCATGAAACCATGTAGTACCTTATGAAATAATAGACCATATGCATGAAGGATACACTAAGGTTCTTTTTATGAATATGTAAGAATTATGTGCATGTGCATGTTGACGCGGAAGTATCAATAGTAAAGGAGCTCTTTTGAGCAATGATAATAGGGCTCTTTTGAGCCAAATGGTAAAGGAGGTTCTTTTGAACCAAATGGTAAAGGATTGGCCAAATAAAATGTACTTGATCAGTACAAATGATACTTACGAGACGGGTGATTATAAATTATGTATTATATGATATGCATAACAAGCATCACATGAATTATGAAAGCAAGTCATGCAATATACAATGAAATTGGTTGCAAGTTTATCCAAGGAAAGATGCTTAATTGATGACTTAGAGGCATGCTAGTTGATGTAACCAAAAATTTGGGGAGGGACCCAAATTTTTTATCACAAAAACAAATGACTTCCTAAGATCTAGAAACTTACAAAAACTCACAAAAACTAGACAAATTAAACAAAATAAACTTTAATATTATAAAATAAAAGACTTAGAAACTTGACCCTTACAAGACACCCTAAACTTGCTTCACTTATAGAAGAGGGATACAGGTGGGGTGTAAACTTGCGGAGAGACGAAAGAGGTTAGAAGCCAAGACCAAGGGCGGAAAGAGCTCGCAAGATTTCCTGGGGAGATGAGAAGAAGAAGTGGACAAAGCTCGCAAGCTTTTCCAATTAAACCCGCATGTTTACATTTTCAAAAATCGCATCATATAACATATCTAAAACAGCCACAAACATCACTATTTATAGGCACAAAAGAAGGAATACAAACAGCAACCTAAAAGCAATATTTAAAGCCATTAAAATAGGGAAATAGAAGGCCATAAGTCACAAAGAAGAAGACCAAAAGACTGCAGGAATTCTGCAGGAAAATTACATAGAAAATAGTGGAAAGGCTCATGGAAATCCCCCCAAACAGCCACCAAACCAGTCCCCAAAAAGCTATCCAAATTCTGTCCAAAAATAGCCCCCAAAACTCTTCAAATACTTCATTAAATGAGGGAAATGAAAGGCCAACAGCATCCATACAGCAGTCCTTAATTTGCACGGGAAACAGAGCACCAAAAGCCACAGGAAAAGCCCCCCATTAGTCACGGAAAATAGCCCAGCCTGGGAACCGAAGAGCCACCCGCAGATACCAAGGTGCCAGCCGTGAAAACCAAGGGGTCAAGGCACGAAAATCCAAGAGCCAACCACGGGAAACGAATGGACAAAAAGGGGGGAAGGAGAATAGACAAGAACAAAGAAATAATGAGCTAATTTTAAGCTCCATAAATGAACTAAAAACCAGCTCATAATGAGCTAACCTTCCACTTGACATTAATGAGTTGGAGAAGTCAAAAATCAAATTTTTTGAGTTTGATTTGAACCCCCCCCCCTCCTTGTCTACATCACTAGTTAAATGTTATGACATGTTTATTGTTCCTATACTAGAAGAATTTACATACATGTTACCTCTTTATCTCGTCTTCTGAAATTTAATTGAAAAGCATTTACCTACTGAGTTATGGCTCACCCATGTTGTGGGACACTTTTCAGGAGGATCTGGTAAAGGATGATAGCGGATAGACCTCTCCTCACGTATCGTCGTAGGAAGACGACGGGCGACAGGTTCTTCCTTTTGAGTTTTTGTTGTTTTGGTATAAATGGATGTATAGAATAACCTTGATGGTTAGTTCTGTTTTGAGCACCTCCTTTTTGTAATGAATTTTCATGTATATGTTGATTTTGGTTTATGAATGAGATGAAAAATTTTACTTGGAGTTCTTTAGCGGCTCTTTCATTACGTTGAGAATGTTTTATATATGTTTGGAGACATGTTAATAGAGTAATGTGAAGGTTTTTATTAATTCCTATTGTCCGACTTTCGTTCCCTCCTCGCACTTGCGAGCTAACTGGGCCAAGTCGTGACATCCACAGTCGATCGAGTTCGAAATCCCAGCAGCATGCAACTGCTCTATAGCCTTCTCCGCTTGTTTATCGTTAGCCTTTGATGCCCGAATAAAAATCGATTAACAACATGAAAAATAAAAATAAACATGGAAGAACGAAGACTTCGATTGAATGAAAGCAAGAGTTTCCAATATCTTTAAGTAGATCAGGGTAGAGATCTAGCACATTCTGGATGAGCCAAGGCTTGCACTTCTCAAAGTCAGACCTAAACTCGCAATGCTCCGCTAGAAAACCACACATTAGACAATAAAGAATGCACACGAGTTCTAGGTTCTCTGCCATGGAAATAGCTTCAAAACTCTCATCTCGTTCATGAAGAGGACAACGAAGTGTTATTTGGTTAAAAACATTTCTTCGTTGGGGCGTGAATTTTTTAAAACACCTTTAACGAAATAATGTCTCTAAGTCTTTCTTTGGGGCAATTTATGCTTCTTTATTTTTTCTTTCAAAGCTCAAATATGCCTTCCTAAAAATAATTTTTTACAGGAAAAATTTTAAAAAATGTGAAAAAGCTATTATTCAAATGCATGATATTTTTATTCATTGTTTCTACAAGTACAAAAGAAGTAAAAAAACTTTCCCAAACAGAGCCTAAATATACATAAGACATCTCTTAGTACAGGCATAAATTAGGTTCGACAACCTATCATTCTTACATGGTCAAAATGTTTATAGCATGCAACATAAGAATATCATAAGACATGGGAACATAGAACCAAAAAACATAGAAAAATAGTTAGAATTTTTATATAAATAAGGATAATATACGAAATAACTGGAGCAAGTGAGAGGAGACTCAACCAGATGTACATGGCATAGAATGATGGCATTGACAAATGGAAGAGTAGGAGCAAAAGGATAAGAGTATTAGGGGAGAAACTATTTCTTATAAAATTTCCGTCGATTCTTCTTTAGCATTATTTTTTAACTCATTCTCTTCCAAATTGATTTCAAAACTAGGTATTAGGATAAGTACAGATGGTGTGAAAGTAAGCTTACAAAGCAAATCAACCACCAGGACTAATTTCCAATCAAATAAGAAAGAGAAGAAAACAAAAGAATATGTTCAACTGCAGAAAAAGTGTAAAATAATAGCAATTGAAGATAAATTAGTTATATGTAACATTATTTGAGATTATCTGAGAAGCTAAAAACATGCATTACCTTTCAAAAAGTTGATAATGCTAAAGGTGAATCAAGTGATCAAATCCAGGTTGTATCAAAATAATGCTATGAAATCAACCAAGGCCACAGTTGAGAAAGAAATGGAAACGCAAGATAGAAAAGTCTCTTTAACAACTATGGATAAGCCCTGCGCACCCCCCATACCCCAATTTCTCTGTCTCTGTCTTTTTCTCTGAATATATTAGCTGCTTCAATTAATGGAGCAGAAAACAATTAAATATTATGGAGATCAAAAAGCCTACCCAAGTAGTTGGAATGTCAGGCAATGATGATGATGACAACCACAATAATCTCTCTCAAAAGAAATACAAAAATCATTTGAAAAGAAAATCAATAATGAATAAATAATTAAGTTAGCTGCATTAAAAATTCATAATTGACATACCATAAAGATTAACAGAACAGAGATATTTGCAGCCTAAACATATTAATGGTATGCATCCAATTATAGCTAAAAAACAGAAAAATAACATCAGAGATGACAAAGAACCATACCCATCCCCGCACATGATAAGATGCCCGCCACTCTTGATTTGTTGCACAAACATCCTAAATACGCGCTGTACATGCTCCTAAGAGTGGATGAACTTCAGATTAGAGTGCATGTGTGGCAGCAGATATGATCAGATGATAACAAATTAGTTTAATATAACAATTTCATAATGGGGCTGAGAGTTTTATTTAAGTGATTCAATATTTCTTTCAATGAAGGAAACCACGATAAATTAAATGAATGTAGAAAAAATGAAACTAAAAACTCATATGCATAATATTAAAACAAATGAAATAAGAAGAGAATTGACAGAGGGTTGTATTGGATGCTGGAAAATTGGATGGGAAGAAATGAGAAAAATGTTGGAAAAGTTCAAATTAATGGTTGCAGATACATCATCGACCCTGTAAGTTTATTCATTTTTCTTCATTTTCCGTCAACAAACAGAGATACAAAGTATGCATGAAGTTTTGAGCGGTATGAACTATGAAAATTGAAAATACAACAGGAAGCCTGCAAGCTCAATAAGACGAGAGGAGATATCACAGTAAGGAGAGCAACTCCACTCAAGTTTGATTGAAATAAATTTGCAAAATGAGAAGAACTTAGTTATTAGGATAGCTCTAAATTTAAATGAAAAAGAGATAGTTCTTAATGGCCATGCCTGTCATCAATCATCAATACAAACCTCGTCATCAAATAAATCAACATGTTCCCACTCCATATTTGTTACAACGGCAATAGATGGTGACAAACCAAGAAAACAACAATCATATTCATCAGCCTGCATGATAACAATTGAAAACATCAATAACGACTTAGATCTACATTAGGGCCACTAGGAATATTGTGTGTCGGTTAATGTAACAAAAATTATGTTGCTAGTTAGTACCGGAATCAGCATGCCAGTGTAGCAAATTATATACAAGCATGAGAAATACATAAAAAAATAAAAGGATACAGGAATATCTAATACAAAAGAAAAATTAAAATTTTGAACTGCGCATCATTACATAAATACTAATAAACTTGAGGATTTTAGATACAGGAGTACAAAAGATAGTTGCCAATTCAAATACGCAGCATCAAAAGCAGCATACCTCCAAGACAAAGTTAGGACCATTCCCAGGAATTATATTTCCTTCTGAAAGCTGAGAGGAGAATATCAAAATGATGAGAAATATAAAAAGTCTCAAGCATCTCTCATTAGGTTAAATAACAGAGTAATAATAACCTACTTTCTGCTAAATAGGGCATCAATTGCAGCTGAAGATAGAATATCTGCCGAGAAAGAGTAAACTAATCCAACATGGAGCTCTACTTTATTATGTAAAGTGGGTGACAAGTATGCAACGTGTGGGATAGATAACAGCAACCCATGCAGCACAAGTATTTTAAAGATTTAGCTAGTAGATATATAATTACATAAAAATTCAAATATATGTATGAAAACCTCCCAATTATGAGGATTGACATGTAAATCACAGAATTCTTCTCATGTATATATAAGTAAATACAAAAGATTGAGGTATTAAAAATGTAAATACATAAAACTTTTGCAATAAATCCCCCTAATTTAATTTTCCTTGTCGGCCAAGTGTTGCTTGAAATGTTTAAAATAATGTGAAATAGGGTAATATATGGCTGAACATAACAACATAGGGGCAGCATGTGTTGGACAATTTTGGATTCTAAATATTCAATGACTGGGGCTATAAGTTCTCAGCACTCGCTCCCTTAGGCCACTCACTCGAGAGTGTGGCTTCACAATTCTAGTGTGCTCGACACTTAGTTCTTCCTGTTCATTCCACATTCCACTTAAGTCCTGTCAAATCTCCTCTCTCATTCCCCATTCACAAACCATGGTTTAAAATTGCGCAATTAGAGGCGCGCCTCAAGGCGCGCCTTTGTGCAATTCAACCAAAAAACGCCTCGAGGCTTACGCAATTCTGGACCTGGATGAGGCGTACGCCTCACCTGGACTGAGGCGCGCCTCAGAGGCGCAATTGCGCAATTCTGGGAGAGGCGTACGCCTCACACGCTAGGTCCCACCCACTTAAAATAAGCCCTCTTCCTCCCTTATACCCGCACAGCCCCCTTCATTTCCGAAAAAAAACCCGCTTCCAGCTCCCTGTTCGCGAAAACGAAGCCCTCCCGCACGGTCGGCCTTGCTTCCCGCCGCTCCTCCCGCCGGCGCCGCCCCTCTCCGGCGAAGTGGAAACTTCCGGCCACCCTCTAGGAGTACTCCACATTGGATTTTAGGTATTTTTATTAAGTTTAGGAGGCTCTTTCTTCCCCTTCAAACCCGCCACTGGCATTCCTCCTCTCCGAAAAAAAACCTCCCGCTCTCTGTA